TCGCTTCCGTCTTGGTCATGGCCTCTAAGATAACTCTTGTGACCAGCGTTTGATTTCATAAGTATCGTGCAAACTATAGCAGATAAACTCTGTATCTTTGATTGGGTTGATTGGGTCTGCATGGCTTATAACTCTCCTGTGTACCATCATGTGCTTCCTCAGTCCAGGCAGTGATCTGCCAACCTTGTTGCAAACATTAATGGTATTGTTGGCAGATCGATGAGGTAGGTTGGCATAGTTGGCTTGCTTCTGGTCGTTATTGACTGGATAAAATCGATTAGCAGGGCTCGTGGGGCGGGTGCATAGACACTGAGAAACCCCTGTTAGCGACGGTGAATAAACAAAACACGCAAAGCGTCACCATAACAGACCTACCATCAGGCTTAACTGTTGGAAACATAGATTCATCGTTTCGTCTTTCTCCTGGCTTCATTCTCACACACTCTTGTTTTTTACAGCCAAAATGTTCAAATTTGGACTCGTCTGTCCACAAAAGATTTTGTCACTCTTTCAATGTCCAATTATGACGCATTTTTGCTCATAATAGTCTTTTCTGCTTACTAAGCTTTTGTAAAAGGGGTTTCTTGATGGCTATGCACCTTCTGAGACCACGTTGATCAAAGTCGATTGTTCACAACAGAGAAAGAGGTTGGTTGCTATTAAGAGGAATTAAGTTCAGCGGTCAATGCTGGAGCAATTTTCCTTCTGTTTCTTTTGCTCTCAATAATCAAGTGCTTATCTTCAGCAGCAGTTATCACTTTTGGTGATCCAGCTTTTCTTCTGTCAACATTTGTGCCACTTTCAAACTCCCATTGTAATGAATATTGGATTAGAAATCTTCAACTTCTTGGCAATTTATCTTTGAGAGTAGACTTTGGATAAAATTTCAACTTGCCCACCCCCCACTCAATACTTATCTGCTTTGATTATTATTATCATATTATAGTTCTGTTTGTTCCTTCCTTTCTTAGCATGTATGTTACACCCTATCTTACCTCAGATAAATAATAGACTATTCCATTTTGATTGCAAGCAAAGATGGAAAAAGCATATCAGAAATGCTGTCCAGTTTCAGTGAGAGGAAGAAAGAAAGAAAGAAAGAAAGAAAGAAAGAAAGAAAGAAAGAAAGAGGAGATGGAGGAAGTGGTAATGCTCTTATGTGTTTAATATATGCTTCAATGAAATGGAAAAACCTATTTGAAATCTTTTCATACTCAGTACAGCAAGTTGTAAATAAATATCACAAATTTTAGAAGCTATTGATATTAAGTCAAAACAGCTACTAATCAACAAAATAACTTATTATTCTAAGATGTATTTAAATTCTCAGAATCTGATAATAGTTAATTTTTCACAACAGAGAAAGAGATTGGTTGTTTATTAAGAGGAATTAAGTTCAGCGGTCAATGCTGGAGCAATTTTCCTTCTGTTTCTTTTGCTCTCAATAATCAAGTGCTTATCTTCAGCAGCAGTTATCACTTTTGGTGATCCAGCTCTTCTTCTGTCAACATTTGTGACACTTTCAAACTCCCATTGTAATGAATATTGTGCCCCATGTTTTGAAATCTTCAACTTCTTGGTAATTTGTCTTTGAGAGTAGATTTCTTTGAATAAAATTTCAATTTGTGCCCTCACCTCAAGGCTTAGCTGCTTTGATTTTGCCATTTATTCAAGATAAAAATAAAATCAAACTATGAAATAACTGTTGTAATGACACAATCTGTTTTTTCTTAAAACAGAGACAACTACATATGTTTTGTTTACAACATAAGTCAATTCTGAGTTAAGATTTATAACCTGTATTTACATTTAAAATAGCTGAACATTCTACTGAGGGGTTAATGATGAAAAAACAATATATAATATTTCTCATACAAAATATTTATAATTTAGAAAAATGTATTGTGGACAGACAAATCCAAAGAAAAAACTGAAAATATAGTATATATATATATATATATATATATATATATATATATATATATATATATATATATCTACACTGTAGTTATAGAAATTTTATCTTTTACTTTAGAAATACAAAAAATATCTCATTTTAAGGTGCTTTTTTTTTTTTTTTTTTAAAGAAATGCAAGATGACCTCCAAATTTTTTTCCTCTCCAGGGCAGTTTTCCTTCCACTTCTTTTGCTCTCAATAATCAACTGTTTATCTTCAGTAGCAATTTTCACTTTTAGTGCTCCAGCTCTCCTTTTAATATTTGCGCCATTTTCTAACTTCCATTGTAATGGAATATTGTACCCCATAACTAGAAAATGTTTCTAATCTCCAAAAAGTCTACTGAGGGTGTCGTTAATGGTGAAAAACAAAATATAATGTCTATCATACAAAATATTCATAATTTATATAAATGTAATATGAGCAGCGACAGTCTGTGGAAGACCATCATGCAAGGCACCGTAGAAGGTGGACATATTCTCCGATGTCCACCTTCAACCGTGTCTTTGAGCTCTATTCTACCCTCTTGGAAATATATATATATATATATATATATATATGTGTGTGTGTTGACCACTAATATCACTATCAATATATAGGTCTCTTTTAAATTAAAATGTTACGAACGTTGGAATTGTACTCTCTTCGTTCTTATCTTAATTGGACACACACACACACACACACATATATATATATAAACGAAAAAAAAAACGAAGAAGAAAAAAGAAGACGACGAATAACAGCAACAAGAAAAAGATGAAGAGAGTTAAACGAGCAAGAAGAAAAATGCCAGAATGGAGAGGAAAAAGAAGACGAAAAAGAAAAAGAAGAAAAAGAAGAAAAAAGAAAAAGAAGAAAATGAAAAAAAAGATGGAGAAAAGAAGAAAAAAAAAGATGAAGTAAAAGACGTAAAAAAAGCAATAAGAAAAAGATGGAGAGAGGGGAAAAAAGCCAGGAAGAAGAATAGGAAAAAGAAGAAGAAAAGATTCAAAGATTCAAAGAAGAAGAAGAAAAAGAAGAAGAAGAAAAAAAAATTTGAAAACCATGAAAAGAAGGACACCGTATTAGAAATTCCTGGACGAGGAGGAGGTTGAGAAAAAATAAGAAGTAGAAGTAGATAAAAAGAAAGAAATGGTGGCCATAGTATTTGTTCGGTGCAAATGTATCCAGCGAAAGAAACAGTTTTTCAAATGTGTTTTTTAATGATTTTTTTTTTAAAGGCGACTGGGAACTTCTTCACACAACAACTACTTTAAAACAGAATTTAAGAAGCGAAAAAGCGTTAAAAAAAGATAAAACAATAGAATTAGTTGGAAACAATAAACAATGATCAATTAAAACCACGCAGACACATTAGAATAAGAAGAAGAAGAAAATGAGGAGGAAGAAGAAGAAGAAGAAAAAGAAGAAGAAGAGCATGAAGACGATTGTGAACAGTTAATGCGTTGTGGGTAGCGTTCTTCTGATGACGGAGGTAGCGGTAATGATGTTGCTGTTCGTAACGAAACGTCATATCAGTGGGCGTAGATCGTTACTGTAGCTACAGGCCGAATATGCTCGTGACTTGCTTCGAGGATGTGCGCCATTTTTATGGTATTCTTGGGTTGATCGTTAGAACAAAACGAAAGTTGCCATATGGAACATCATTTGGCAAGCATAAACCTTGTTTACAGTTATGAACATAATGTAACTTATGATTTGGTTACGTTTGACCAGAGGGTTATTAACCTAGGGTAGAAATTTCCCTTTAGGATTTCAGGGGAAAGTTTTTTTAATTTTTTCTTGCTTTTTATTTAAAGAATTTTCTTGTTTATTAAATTACAATACCCCGGTAATCTATTAGATGTTTTTGTTTATTAAATTACGCTTCAGTTTATTTAATAAAGTATGGGTATTATTCAGCTCGTCCACGTCGCTACCGAATGTTACATAAGGTCAGTTTAAAGTGGGTTTACTCGGCAATATCTTGGGGGAAAAATTCCCAAGCCCTCTCAGCAATTTATCTTTTTGGGACGCCTTTAGCGTCGACTAATAAACACAGCCTCATTTCTTTTTTTAAAACTTCCCCGCATAGGCTTTCACCTTAATTCTGGTGCTTTTCTAAGCGTATTTGCGATAGGGCACAAGGCTGAAAGTATGGAGCACCTAGTAAGAATCGAACTCACTACTCAGTCGTAACTATTCTAGTGAGACAAGCTTACTAAACATTACACCATATCGAGGGGCCATTTTCACCTTAATTATGAATTAAAGCAAATTACTGTACATATATTTAACACTTTCACTGCTACTCATTTGACCAATGCCGTCCCCATCCCGTCAGCCATTTTTAAAGAAAATGCCAAATTTCAACCTACATATTTTATTACACAGAAAACTGGCACCAGTGTGTTTTACAGCATTCCATTTTCATGGATATACCTGGGAATGACTTAACAGATCATTAATGGGTATACACATGATATCTTTTGAAGCATTGTCCTTTGTGGAGTGGGACTTCACATTTTTTGCAGAAGTATCTTGTTTCTGAGCGTTTTCCAGCTTTTTTGAAGACTCTGCATGGCTTGGAAGGGTACCTTTTCTTATTGGTTGGTGGAATTTCTACCAAGTCATGAGCTTTCATTCCACCAACAAAGCGATTGGCAGGATCAATTTTAGGTGCCCTTGGACATACGGTCACGGGCGCTGGGAGGATCCGCATGCTAGCCGCATTTTCGTCAGGAATATTTTCAAATTAGATACGAAACTACCATGACGTAGATAAAAAATCGAGGCTGACTAATAATTGGCATGATAGAACAGTTAGAATTTCCCGTATTTTACGATAGATGGCGCAACGGGACACTCATAACAGCGGTATGCAAAAAAAGACGTAGGTTTCCGTCCTTAGCCAGCTGGAACAAGATAAGAAAAATGAAGATCTCCGTCATTAGCAGCGAAAGTGTTAAGTTTGAAAATCCATCAACATTTGTTGAGCTTAAATTTGTAAAGTTCTATAAAAAAATAACCCTTGTAAATGCATGTATACTAACATAGAAAAGGCTGACGGCCATATCACGTTAAAACATCGGTTCCTGTATGTTCACCAAAGTTAAGCAACGTCCAGCCTGGTTAGTACCTATATGGGTGAGCACTTTGGAATACCAGGGTGCTTTAAACATGGCGGTGTGGGCGAAGTAAAGGATAATGACTCGCAATTCTTAATCTGAGGGCCGAGGTTCAATTCCAGTACAGTTCGTTATATTCACTTACGCGCAAATAATCTTGGGAAAAGTATGAATCCAACTCTTCTACCCCTCAGCTATGGGTTAATTAGACTGACTGGTATCACTAAATCATTATTATCTAAAAAAAATCTTCCAATTTAAAAATGTTTCAATCAAAGATTAGATTTTAAAAAAGCAACAAAATGTAGTACCTATAATAGTCAGAACACTCGGATCAGTGAAGATCACGCAAGAAGCATCTGTGGAAATGTGGATACTTGTCTTGGATAGGGAAGAATGGAAACGAGTCGTGGTCGAGTTTTATATACATACATACATACATATATATATATATATATATATATATATATATATATATATATATATATATATATATATATGTATATATATATATATATATATATATATGAAATAAGGCGATTAATTTGAGAGAATACAAGAACCTGTGTCAAAGATGTAATAAAAACAAAACAACAAAATGTAGTGCCTGTAATAATCTGAACACTAGGAACTATCATAGAAGATCACACAATACATCCGTTCGAAATGTGGACAGAATAGAAAAGAGGCGTGGTCGGGTTGTATATATATATATATATATATTTTTATAAAAAAATTTATAACATAAGTATGTTATAAAATCACTACAAAATAGCCATTTTGTTTCAACACACTCTGTGTCTTATCAAGTTGGTGTTGAAAATAAAATAAATGGTTTTAAAAGTTTCAGATGAATTAACATCCTACACTAGACATTGTTACAAAAGCTAGAATAACCAATCAAAACGAAGTTTCAAAAAGCTTGACAACAAAATCCTGCTATTATAGCTATTTAGATCTTTAAATACGTGTAATATAAAAATAATTTTTACTAACTAGATAAATTTATATGATAAAATTTAATATTAAAATTAAAAACTGGCAATTTTAAAATCATTATGTTTAAAAACTACAAAATTATTGAGAAAAGAAAAAAATATATATTTTATTCAATTCATTTCTTCATTGAAATTACGTCTGACAAGACAAAAAGCTACAATTCGTCCGGTCATCTGAAAAATATATATATATATATGAAAGGATTAATTTGAGAGAACACATGGACCTGCGTCAAAATTAAATAACAAAATGGTGCCTATAATAATCAGAACACTCGGTATCAGAGGATTACATAAGAAATATATAAATATATATATATATAAGAATGGAAAAAAGCGTGGTATATATATATATATATATATATATATATTTGTGTATTTAGGCAGCAATCTTTCTTTCATGCACATTTCATTGAATACGACAGACAAAATGCTTTTATTTAGTTTTTTATACAATTTCTCATGCGATCTAATATTTTTTTTCTTTTCGTATGATAAATTATATAAAAACTGTCCGAATTAATAATAAAAAAAATAACACTTAATAATATTAATTTTGAACATGGACATAATATCTTGACCGTGTTTTGAAATATGAAAACATTTTATAAAACATACATACAAAAACTAATTCTTATTTAACAGTTAAAATATTTAATCCTTGAAAATGGGTAAATGTATAGCCGAAAGCGCTCGGATAAAAAGAACATTTGGACAGTTTTTATATAATTTAGAAAAAATTATTAGACCGCATGAGAAATTGTATAAAAAACTAAATAAAAGCGCCTTGTCGGTCGTATTCAATGAAATATATATATATATATATATATATATATATATATATATATATATAAAAGTGTATATAAATATAAATAAATATATATATGTATAATTATTTATATATTATATACGCAAACTTATTAAAAGCGCTCAATATCAGAGATAGAGCTAACATATTTGGTTGGATAGATGTGAGTTTGTGACCCTGGGTTTCACGCTTTAAGGATCGTCAGATATATATATATATATATATATATATATATATATATATATATATATATATATATGTGTGTGTGTGTGTGTGTGTGTGTGTGTGTGTGTGTGTGTAAGCCGATTAATTTGAGAGAATACAGGACCTGAGTCAAAGATTTAATAAAAATAAAAAAACAAGAAAATGTAGTGCCTGTAATAATCTGAACACTTGGAACTATCGCAAGTGGTGAAAATTGAAATGATAGAGATTCGACAAGATCTTGAGACCATAGCTATGTTGAGGATTTGGAGGAAGATTGTGTCAGTCGCTCCACAGCGACAACCAGCAGACATTGGTGTTAATGTGGGAAGACAAATGAATAACAGTAATAAAAGGTTGGTATGACGAGACAGAACTAAAATGCGGTGTTGCATTGCAGGAAGAGGAATACGTTGGGGACAAAAGAAATGATTTGGCTGGCATCAATACTGAAAATGGCATTCGCTCAAATCAGAAACTGATTGAGAAGACAGTAAAAAAAAAACTTGCTACCTTGGGAATTAGAAGCACAAACATCTCTCAATCCAGGCTAGAAGACCTAACATAATCGATGTCGACTAAGAACAGACAATATGGCCTCTGGTTTTAGTAGCCATGTCAACAGACGACCAGTGAGAAAGAGAGAAAATTTTAAGGAAGGTTTTCAAAAGAATGAAAATATGTGGATAAATGTTACGAAGAATATACAAGACGCAAACAATATCCCCGATATATAAGAAATAAACACGGCAATAATTTATTCTATGGGAATTGATTGTTTTAAGATTCACTCTCTATACTACGGTAAAAAACAAGAGAGGACTCCTAAGAATTCATTTTCCTTTTCTGTGCCGTGTTCCTTGATAAAGTGGGAGATCATAGCCCTTCATGACAAACCCCTATCTCTTGAAGGCCTTAGCCGTGTTTTGACCCTTTGCCAAGCCTACCAACTCCCGTTCTGTTATCTATTCTCGCAAGCTAGTCTCGCTGCCTTCCGCTGAGCCTCTTGTCTTCGATATGACTTGTGAGTTTCAAATTATCCAGTCACCCACTTCCAAGTTATATGTCTTAGAAATTACAGCTGTCCTTGTCTGATTCTGAGTATATGTCTCCCCTTAGTGTCCCCCCTCCTCTCTCTCACATCTCTTTCACTCCCGTCTAACCCTCACTTATTTCTATCCCGTCTTTCTCTCTCTCTCACCTTTTTCTCATCAGTCTTTCTCACCCTCTATCCCCAACACTTTCTCTTCTGTCTTTCTCCGTCTCTGTCTCTCCCCACCCACTTCTCTCTTGTCATTCTCTCTCTCTCTCCGCCACCTCTTTCTCTCCCGTCTTTCTCTCTCTTTCCACCACCTTTCTCTCTCTCTTCGCCACCTTTTTCTCTCCAGTTTTTCTTTCTCTCTCTCTTCCTCAAACTATTTCTCTCTCGTCTTTCTCCAATTAGTTCTCTCCTATCTTTCTGTCTCTCCCTCTCTGTCACCTCTTTCTTAGCCGACTTTCTTTCACTTCCCCAACTCGTCTTTCTCTCTCTCTCCGCCACTTCTTTCTCTCTTCCTCCACCTCGTTCTCTCCCATCTATCTGTCTCTCTCCCCAACCTCTTTCTCTTATGTCTTTCTTTCTTTCTCTTCCTCAACCTATCTCTCTCCCGTCTTTCTCTCTCTCCCCCACCTAGTTCTCACCTATCTTTCTGTCTCTCTCTCTCTCTCTCTACCTCATTCTCAGCCGTCTTTCTTTCGCTTCCCTCCACTCGTCTTTCTCCCTCTCTCCCCCACTTCCTTCTCTCTCTTTCTCTCTTCTTCCAGCTCTTTCTCTCCCATCTTTCTGTCTCTCTCCCATCTTTCTCTCTTTCTCCTATCTTTCTGTCTCTCTCACCGCCACCTCTTTCTCTTCCGTCTTTCTCTCTCTCTCTTCGCCACCTTTTTCTCTCACGTCTTTCTTTCTCTCTCTCTCTTCCTCAACCTATTTCTCTCCCGTCTTTCTCTCTCTTCTCCACCTAGTTCTCTCCTATCTTTCTGTCTCTCTCTCCGCCACCTCTTTCTCTTCCGTCTTTCTCTCCCTCTCTCTCTCCGCCACCCTTTTCTCTCCTATCTTCCTTCCTTCCTTCCTTTCTCTCTCTCTCTCTCTTCCTCAACCTATTTCTCTCTCGTCTTTCTCTCACCTCCCCACCTAGTTCTCTCCTATCTTTCTGTCTCTCTCTCTCTTCCACCCCTTTCTCAGCCGTCTTTCTTTCACTTCCCCCCCACTCGTCTTTCTCTCTCCGCCACTTCTTTCTTTCTTCCTCCACCCTTTTCTCTCCCATCTTTCTGTCTCTCTCTCTCTCCGCCACCTCTTTCTCACCCGTCTTTCTTTCACTCTCCTCAACCGCCTTTTCTCTCGTCTTTCTCTCTCTCTCCGCCACTCCTTTCTCTTTCGTCTTTCTCTCTCTATCTCTTTGTCTCTCGTCTTTCTCTCTTTCTCTATCACCCACCTCTTTCTCTCCCATGTTTCTCTCTCTCTTCCAATTCTTTCTCTCCCGTTTTACTCCTCCCTCTCTCCTGCCCCCCCCTCCCCGAACCTCAAGTAGAACTCGTACATATCTCTCGCTATATATACAGGAAAAATGGTTGGCTCTCTGTACCACCTCAGTAGGTACCTGACTCCTCATGCTATCTTCTGTCTTTACAAGAGCTAGATTAAGCCTAAAATGGAGTACAGCTTTCATGTTTAGGCAGGAGATGTCCAGTCCTCACTTACCAGTCTCGGTAGACTCCAGAAGCGTCTCCGCGTCCTTGAATTATTTTCCACCCTACAACCCCTTTCCTCACAGACGAAAAGCCGCAAGCCTTTCGCTGCTTTATCGCTATTTCCATGGAAAGTGTTCAGACGAACTACATTCCTTAGTTCCACCAGTTCTAACCTTCACGGCTAGGACCTGACATGCCACGCCCATCGTAGCGAACCACCCTCATTCCCTTCGTATTCCATTAGTAAGGAGTAAGTTCCACTTGAGCAGCTTCCTCACGCGAACGACTGCTCTGTGGAAGAGACTCCCAAGAGGATATTTTCTCGATCACTACAATCTTAACCTGTTCAAGTCTAGGGTTAACCGTTATCTTGCCCACATATCCCTATAAACTGTGCCTCTTGCCTCTTACCCTGTAACCCTCTACCTCAAGTGGCTCCTGTGCTTTGTACATGTTGAGATGTTGAGTGTTACCCCGTGCGTGTATTGAAATAAGGACAAACACATACGTAGGGAAAAATACTGTTATATCCGAAGAGGTATTTACAACGGAGAGATTAGTAGTCAAACGAACGCAGGTTAGTCAGTAACAATCAGAAAGAGTATAAAGTCCAACTGTATCTTCCGGTAGAGAGACGGAAGTGTGATGGTCACCTGATCTTCCCGGAGCTCTATAGAACTGTCCTATTAGTAGTAGAGAGATCAGTCCATTCTGATGAGAAGGTGGGTGGCCCCAAAAGTACAGGATATCCTTCACTGTACAAAAATCAAAACAAAAAACATTTTCCTTCAGACTTCTTCCTTGCTTACTCAATACCATTCTCAGCATCATTCTGTAGAACTATGAGGAGATTGCTCATAGAATTGAATTGATATTCAATAACAGTTCAGTAGTCTTTTCTTTATTTCTAATGAAAATTTCCCGTTTCTTTGCTTAGCTTTTAGAAAGCATCTTTCCCTAATTCAATGTGCCTTCACATTTCAGTGTCACATTTTCTGTTGCTAGTTAAATTAGTTCTATATTCTCTGTCTTCTTACTGTTGACAATTAGTCCTTTCTTCTATCTTTTCTTTTAAAATCATCTCCCGGCGGTCATCTAGTTTTCTTTCTGTGTTTGCCTTCGTCGCTGAATAAGTCTGCGGGGAAAATACATCCTTGTCTCGGACCCCTTTCTTAAATTTGCACATTTTATTTTACAACAGAAAAGAATTAAAAATTCGAGGCAGACTTTTTTATGGCCATACTTCATACTTTCATACTTTCATACTTCATACTTTCATACTTTCATACTTCATACTTTCATATTTTCATACTTTCATACTTCATACTTTCATACTTTCATACTTCATACTTTCATATTTTCATACTTTCATACTTCATACTTTCATACTTTCATACTTCATACTTTCATACTTTCATACTTCATACTTTCATACTTTCATAATTCATACTTTCATATTTTCATACTTTCATACTTCATACTTTGATACTTCATACTTCATACTTTCATATTTTCATACGTCATACTTTGATACTTCATGCTTTGATACTTCATACTTTCATACTTTCATACTTTATACTTTCATATTTCATACTTTGATACTTCATACTTCATACTTTCATATTTATCTTTCATACTTTCATACTTCATACTTTCATATTTTCATACGTCATACTTTGATACTTCATACTTTGATACTTCATACTTTCATACTTTCATACTTTATACTTTCATACTTCATACTTTCATACTTTCATAATTCATACTTTCATATTTTCATTCTTTCATACTTCATACTTTGATACTTCATACTTCATACTTTCATACGTCATACTTTGATACTTCATACTTTGATACTTCATACTTTCATACTTTCATACTTTCTTTCATACTTCATACTTTGATACTTCATACTTCATACTTTCATACTTTATACTTTCATACTTTCATACTTCATACTTTCATATTTTCATACGTCATACTTTGATACTTCATACTTTGATACTTCATACTTTCATACTTTCATACTTTATACTTTCATACTTCATACTTTCATACTTTCATAATTCATACTTTCATATTTTCATACTTTCATACTTCATACTTTGATACTTCATACTTCATACTTTCATACGTCATACTTTGATACTTCATACTTTGATACTTCATACTTTCATACTTTCATACTTTATACTTTCATACTTCATACTTTGATACTTCATACTTCATACTTTCATACTTTATACTTTCATACTTTCATACTTCATACTTTCATATTTTCATACGTCATACTTTGATACTTCATGCTTTGATACTTCATACTTTCATACTTTTCATACTTTATGCTTTCATACTTCATACTTTCATACTTTCATAATTCATACTTTCATATTTTCATACTTTCATACTTCATACTTTGATACTTCATACTTCATACTTTCATATTTTCATACGTCATACTTTGATACTTCATACTTTGATACTTCATACTTTCATACTTTCATACTTCATACTTTCATACTTCATACTTTGATACTTTCATACTTTCATACTTTCATACTTTCATTTCACTTTCATACTTCATTTTCATATTTTCATACGTCATACTTTGATACTTCATACTTTGATACTTCATACTTTCATACTTTATACTTTCATACTTCATCATACTTTCATAATTCATACTTTCATATTTTCTTTCATACTTCATACTTTGATACTTCATACTTT